CTAAACTGAGCCTGTATGGATAGAGGAGATAGGTAGTGATTTTCCATCTTTAATAGCTGTTTTTGTGTGTTGTTTTCACAATCTTCGGTCCACTTATAATTTTTTTCCCTACATAAATTTCTTTGAAGTGGGGAGGGGGCAGCGTTGTTTTGGCAAAATCTTACCAAAAAGCCTGATAGAAGGACACATGTACTCAGGTCTCAGCACAATAAAAGCAAGCAATAAAAGTTAACAAGAATAATTCTCCATTCAAGTCATCTGTCGAAAATTTTGATATTTTTTTCATATTGCAATATATTTCAAAAAAATCAAATGTCATTATTTGATCGCTCAGTCTCAAAAACTTGTATCTGTAGCAAACAAGTGTTAGCTAATAATATGCCATCCAGGACGCATGTTAACAGGTTACATAAACAAAAAACTGTTCCATTATGCAACTTTAGCTGAACTGACCGGTGAAATTGAAATCGTTAAAAACAATTGCCTTGCTTGTTGATTAAAAACAACTGACGAAGAGAAGTTTTAGCAGCAGCCAGACACCACTTTTGTTGAAGTCTTGGATTAAAAAACGTCTGTGCAGATGTTTAAATGAGAAAATGAGCTACATTTGTTTTACTGGATGAATAAAAGTTTGGTCCAGGAAAACACATCAAAGAAAAGCTTTTGACCAGCTTATTGTCATCTCAGTGTTCCACTAAATAACAGAAAAATAAACCACATAAACATACAACTGTGGTGCCATGCCACTGAACTATAAAAAAGGCAGAAAAATTCAGGATGGATCATCTCAACACCTTCATGACATTTTGCACATTTCGTCAAACACAAATCTTGTTCTTTTCCGTGTGAACGCTTTAAAAATCATTCTAAGTTGTCAATCTAAGCGGCTCGTTGAACTGGTCGGATGAGTCAGCTGGAGCTGCAGGCCGCTTGGTGCAATGAGAGGTGACGCGGGTCACAGGAGTGTCAGAGCGGGTCGGCGCGCTGCAGCRAAGAAATGTTTTATGGCTGAGCTGAAATAACTGGAGCCTCTGTGGGCGGCTGACAAAGGCGCTCCAACTGGATTTATGTTTGTGTGTGAGATGTTCTGGGGGAAAACAGATTGGCGCCTGCAGGCATAACTCTGACATGAAAAGAAAAAAAATTGAGGACAAATTCTTTCATAAAACAGGCACTATTTCAGCTCCTGTACCCACGTCAAAGAGGACATCCTTTGGGTCATTCCCACTACTTATAATGCATAGAAACATGCCTGTAAATGTTACCAACTCCAAATACCCACCTTAGTTCCTTGAACCTAGCATTGCTAAAGGCACATATATAATCTGTAATAATCTGTGGGGTTCTGTGGAAAGGTTATAAACTAAGTAGTACCTATCTGATTCTGGTCAATTTGACAAATTCAAGCTACTCATTGCAAAGTCTGAAATCAAACATAAAACAATGTCATCCTGTATCAAATGATGCAGCTTGAACAAGCTTACTCCAGTAGTTTTCCAGAYATACTGGTATGTAATTCTTAATTAAACTTAATGTAAATAAAGAACTTGGCTGAATCCACCAAAAACTTTATGGAAGCTTGAGTTACGTGATGGACCTGGCCATAGTCTGGCAAGTGTAGAATCTCAGAAAATGTGAGAATATAAGAGCTAATCTGTTGCTAAACGTAGAAAATAGAAAGTATCGAGGATCAAACGGGGCGATGGAGCGTCATAAAACGTCTTCCAGATCAGTAAGTTCACTGTTTAAACCTGACTTATCTTTTAATTTGCATATTTTACTCAACAAATCGGAGTGTAAATATTTACCAGTGTAAACTGTCAGATTCTTCTATCCCAAATGGTTCTTTATATGTAAGTCGTTGTTGTTGACCTATTTTCACTCACTTTGGCTCCATTCGCAAATTTTGCTTGCACATATTTAACTTAATATATTACTGTCCTGATGCATCTCAGTAATGCAGGTAGAAAAATCAAAAAGAAAAATAAGCAAGTCCTCTGCACGGGTTCTTCTATAATGATCATTAAAGAAGAACCCGTCCAGAGGACTTACTTATTTTTCTTTTTGATTAATATATTACCCACCGATACGAGCAAAAATTGTGCAGATTCTGTTTATTTTAGGGATGCACCGCTATGAAAATTTCAGCCGCTATCGATATCCGATATTATTATTGCTGTTATGGCCGATAACCGATATTACACAAACACACAAATTATTTGTATCCGTATACGCACAAACACACTTGCGCCTTTTTTTGATACCATAAATAAATGACCAGACCTCTGACATGGCWCTACTTCAGTTATTCCTGGCTGCGCAGCGTCAATATCACAATCAAACAGATACCACTCGACCAACAATATCCCCTACCAAACCAGAAACACAAAGCTAAAAAAGTGGGAATTCAATATCGGACAGTAATATCAGCCCAGTTTTACATATCGGGCTGATACCGATATTCTAAAAAACGACCAATATCGGCCGATACCGATGYCAATGCCGATATACCATGTATCCCTAGTTTATTTTTAGCCGATTTTCTTTTTTACTTTGCTATTTTTACCTTTAACAGCTAATTCGAGTTCACGAATTGCTGCAAACATCTTTAAAGTTTTGAAGCTATTTATTTAAGTGCTATTTTCCAAATTGTTACACCAAAGTCAAATTTGAAGCAATTTAAAGAGGTACAGCTACAACTAATATACCAACACTTTATAACCTTTTATACAGAACCCCACTTCAAAAAAGCCAAACTACTCCTGACCCTAACGTCACCCTGTACAGTGTCATAAATCGAAGACTTTATAACCAAACAGGACTAGAGTAAGTTAAACAATTAAAGCACTTACCTGATGAGTTGTGGAGGAAGGATCAAACAGAAGTCGGATAGGAGTCGAGCAGCAGTCATGAGGAGAAAAAAACAAACAATAAAACTCATTAAGATTCATTTTATAGATGTTTTTGTCTGAAGTTATTTACTGCGTGTGTATTTAATGTCCTCAACCCTGGGATATACATTCAACACAACTAATCAGGTGCAAATGACCTTTTTATTGTTGCTATAAAATGCTAACCTTATAAGAACATATTAAAATAGATTTGTTCCCATTAAACATTTGTAATTCTTCTGCTTTAACACCTAATCCAACAGGAGCTTTCATTTTTGAAAGCAGAGTCTGCAAACTAAACAAACCGACTTCTATCAAGTAAATAAAGGTTTTTCAGCATGTCTGAGATAAAAATAAAAAAAAACCTTCTGTTCATGACCACAGTATGACTCAGACTCTAACGAGGCCATTAGGGCTGATGTGAGGATGTGGGAGGGCGTGACTGAGCGACAAAAAGAGCTGGCTATCACAATGAAATGTTCACGGCTGCTTCCAACAAGCTGATGATGAAAAACGGAACTGATCTGACTAAAAAGCAAGAAATTTCATAACGCCCACAAGTTTAAATGGTAAATCATATCCTTTTGTTTTACTGGACTTTGTTGAGATGCATCCATTCTAAACATTTCATTACAAAAACATATGTTTAATCGAGCTGGTAAATACTATTCGCAATCCAACATAAAAATACACTTAAAGGTTTGAATCAAACAGACTTTTCTGATAAAAAGAACCGTGACACATGTAAATAACACCAATAAACTGGGTTAAAACAACAACGAATTGATGCATGACAGGGTGAAAAGGCAAATAAACAAAGTCACACCTCAGATGTGTTGATATTAAGGTGATGAATGGTGTGTGTGTGTGTGTGTGTGTGTGTGTGTCTGCGCAGACAAAGG